CAGACTGCATGTGATTGGTATAATGGATGGTATAGGTGAAAATACTATGAAAACACATTTACGATGTTGGTAGGTGTCAGTAAGAGTACCAGGTAGCATATGGTATACTGCAACAGACTGTATGTTATTGGTATGATGGATGGTATAGGTGAATTATACCATAATAATACATGTACGATATTGATAGGTGCCAGTACGAGTACCAGGTAGCATATCGYGTACTGCAACAGACTGTAAGTGACTGGTATAATGGAGGGTAGAAGCGAATATACCCTCTTTTTTGTTAAAATCTTACAGTATTGCAAACATCCTATCTTACAAATTTTTTTAAACAATAATATTAATAATAACAATAATATTAATTATTCAACTACTATTTACAAAAGTAGGTCCTATACTGCTGTGCTTTCATCCTCTGTAAAACAAGAAAACAACAAAATAATCAGAAAAATAACTGAATAAAATAAACACAATTAAACATGGATGGCCCAGCGACAGCAATAATGCAACGAGGCTCTGCACATTACTATAACAATATGGTTGCTATGGTGAATGTCGCAGGAACTGCCACCTTAATTTTAACAAGATAATACTGTATTTTGGTCATTTACCATTATCTTCTGAATCTGAAGGACCCCATATTCTAACTGTGCCATCATCACTTGCCGATGCCAGCATACTAGGTTTGTGAGGATTCCAGCTGACACAGTTAACAGTTCTAGTGTGACCTTTTAATACTGCTATTGGTTCTTCTCTTTTCACATGCCATATATATAAATTGTGGTCTGCAAAAACACCATGGATCAAAGATTAGCTATATTTCTTGTAAATAGTTTATGGCTTCAAATCAAACCTCCCAAATGTTATAAATGCATGCATTAAAGTGCATATGACACGAAAAAAATTTAATGTTAAAAATGTGTATTTTATTGTCATTAATAAGAATAACAGTTAAATTTGTTTCAAAAACATATTTCTCTAGAAATTCAAGAAAATTTAGCACAAGTTGTGACGTCATTTTGTTTACAAGTCTCCAGATTTAGTTGCAAATACACGAAATATGTTTGAATGTGGAATCTTAATTTCAGGTAGTGCACTTTTCAGTTTCCCAACATTGGAAGAGTACTACCTAAGCTATCAAATGAAATTGAATAAAATATGCCTTTTGTTGTTATTTTATACGAATTACAATTTATATTTGGTGCATTACTACTGAATCTAGAGTATGTGTCAACAAAATGACGTCACAAATTGATATTAATTTTCTCACATATCTCAAGAAATAAGCTTTTTTAAACCAAATTTCATTACGATATATTTATTATTACTAACAAACTATACACTTTAAACGATGAAATGTTTTCGTGTCATATACACTTTAATAACTATACCTATTTCAAAAAATGTTGTCCGTCAGAGATGAGACAAATTGTAATATATTCATAGCTGAACAATGTAGTTTCCTTTTAGATTGGAATATGTAGCATTTTTGTATTTTAGGCAGAAAGCTTAAAAGCACAAAAATTCAGTGAAGTTGCAGATTGTCCATCTCAGATCTCCAACCAACAAAGTTTTTGAATTAGGTGTATACAAATAATAGATGAACAGTGGTTCAGACAACCCTCTATTATTATTAAAGGACTGATATAATTAGATATTCAAGAATAAGTGATAAGATAGTACCTTCACTTCCACTAGCTAAAAAGACTTGATTAACACCCCCAAAACAGGAGTGTATCGTATAGTATCCTTGAGTAACTCCATGGTACTTGCGTTGTAATGTCTTATCTTTAATACCCCATAAATGAAGTCCCTGCGTGGGATTACACACAGAACATGTACATCAGCACATTTTTAAGGTATATTGGATATTTATTTGAAATCTACTACTTACTTGAGATGATACATTTAAGAGGCAGCGATTGCCATCATCAGCTAGGCTGAATGACATTATAGCGTGGTCTTCTTGAAGTCTAAAACAAACACATCTCAAGTTACGACTTTGGCTATTCAGCTTTAATACTGACATTTTAACTTCAGTTACATTTTGAATGGGCCTTACTCACATGGTACTATCATGAAGATCTTCGAAATTATAAGAGCGCAGTCTGTAATGAGTGTCAGCAGCTAGAACTGTTTTGCCGTCACTTTGACAATGAAGAGCATTGATTCTTACTCCTTCCCAGGAATCTAAAACATTACCATCAAGATCCTGCACAAAATAAAGTGCATATCACTTACTTTACGTTAAGGGTTATTACTATGATCTACAATATTAAACATATTTACAGTAAATGGTTATACCTGTACCTGTCTTGCGGAAAACAAGAGAGATCAGAGCCCCACCCAATCCCATAATCACAAGGAAAATCAATTGAAAAGAAGTTGGTCTATATCCCCCCCTCTTCCCCCCTCCCC